GATTGGCCCGCCACGGGTTGTCTAAGGATTGGCCCGCCACGGGTGGTCTAATGATTGGCCCGCCACGGGTGGTCTAATGATTGGCCCGCCACGGGTGGTCTAAAGATTGGCCCGCCACGGGTGGTCTAATGATTGGCCCGCCACGGGTGGTCTAATGATTGGCCCGCCACGGGGGGTCTAAAGATTGGCCCACCACGGGTGGTCTAAAGATTGGCCCGCCACGGGTGGTCTAATGATTGGCCCGCCACGGGTGGTATAAAGAAAAAAAGTCAATTTAACCGGAATCATTCGTTGGTTAAAAGATTAAATAATCTACTTTTTTCGATAATTTAAAGATTACTATTTCAATACTAATGGTAAGAAAAAAAAATGTTTTAAAAGCTTTTAAACAGACCTCCTAACAAGGACGAGTTTAAACTTAATAAAAAGTAGACAATAATTTAAATTTCTTTTAAAGCATTATTCAAAGAAAGTCTGAGCAGAAAATAATTTCATAAAGCAAAACATGATAAAACACATTACATTTCGCCCACATTCTATTCGAATCCTGGTTAAATAGATTGTTCATCTACACATCTGCACAGACTTCCTTTTGGCTAAGTAGAGTATGAGCATGGAAGAGTCGGGTATCAGAAGAGGCATGGAAGAGTAGGGTGTCAGTAGAGGCATGGAAGAGTAGGGTGTCAGTAGAGGCATGGAAGAGTAGGGTGTCAGTAGAGGCATGGAAGAGTAGGGTGTCAGTAGAGGCATGGAAGAGTAGGGTGTCAGTAGACGCATGGAAGAGTAGGGTGTCAGTAGAGGCGTAAAAGAGACGGGTGTCAGTAGAGGCGTAAAAGAGACGGGTGTCAGTACAGGCATGGAAGAGTAGGGTGTCAGAAATGTTCTCTTATTTAATTAAATGTATGGCTCGTTCTAAAACAGTACACAACAAAAGACGATACCAACTGTTAAAAACAATAGCAAAAAATACGATAATCAAACCAGGGCTCATTACAATTATTAAGTTTTATTATGTTAAGTATAAATTACAAGATCAAAAAGAAATAAAAGTAAAGCCATTTACTTACAGTATAATAATTGGCTTGTACCGGTACAGTTTCGAAGAAGACACAATGTTGTAAAAATTTGCAATGAAGAAAAAGAATCAACACACACAGACAGTAAACAAAACTCTCTATTATAGCAAAGATTGAACACGATTGGTTTTTGCAATATAAAATGGTTTTGATGATCTGGCTTGACCAGTCACGTTGTGAGGTCACTCTGACGTTGGAAGTGGATTCTCTGGTCCTGTCCTTGGTGGCTTTTCAGGGCGGTAACGAGAGAGGACGACACAGCGCTATGTTGTTTAATAGCTCTTCCCTGGCACGTTGTCAAGTGGGTCTGGTCTTCCCAGGGATGGGTCTGGTCTTCCCAGCTAGGGGTCTGGTCTTCCCAGGTAGGGGTCTGGTCTTCCCAGGGATGTGTCTAGACTTCCCAGCGATGAAGCTGGACTCCCCAGCGATGTGTCTAGACTTCCAAACGATGTGTCTAGACTTCCAAACGATGTGTCTAGATTTCCAAACGATGTGTCTAGACTTCCAAACGATGTGTCTAGACTTCCAAACGATGTGTCTAGACTTCCAAACGATGTGTCTAGACTTCCGAACGATGTGTCTAGACTTCCGAACGATGTGTCTAGACTTCCAAACGATGTGTCTAGACTTCCAAACGATGTGTCTAGACTTCCAAACGATGTGTCTAGACTTCCAAACGATGTGTCTAGACTTCCAAACGATGTGTCTAGACTTCCAAACGATGTGTCTAGACTTCCAAACGATGTGTTTAGACTTCCAAACGATGTGTCTAGATTTCCAAACGATGTGTCTAGACTTCCAAACGATGTGTCTAGACTTCCAAACGATGTGTCTAGGCTTCCAAACGATGTGTCTAGACTTCCAAACGATGTGTCTAGACTTCCAAACGATGTGTCTAGGCTTCCAAACGATGCGGCTGGACTCCCAGCTTCGACGCAGAAAATTGCAATTTGATAACTTTCAGCTTAGTTTTTTTCGGCCGAAACAGAAAAGTTAACTTTCGGTTTAATTTTGGTTTCGGCTGAAAGGGATTGAGACTTTCGGCCATCTGGTCAAAAGTGATTGAGATTTGTTGGTCATTCATCAGAAGTCAGACTGTCTGTCTCAAGGCCGACAGTCCGATATTCCTTATTGCTCGACGCCTTGCAGTCACCATATGTTATATGCATAAACTCTTCGAAAACAGCTCAAAGCTGCATGATGACCTATTGTCCTTTATTTCCAAAAATTAAACTTCAATTAGGCCGAGTCAAATGTAAAAAGTTTTGTGGAAGAAAAAATACGGGAATAGTAATATTTATATCATTATTTTTGTTTTAATTTTTTCCAAAATAAAATTAGAACCCAAGGTTTCTTCCATTCCTTCATTTGTGTTATTCATTTTGATTTTTTTTTTATGAAGCTCATCAATGTTATCATTGGCAAGGTGAATAATATTGAATAATCCTAGGGAATGATAATATGCCATTATTATTTATGTTTTATTTATTTTTTAAACATAAAAATTGGAGAACTTTAGACTTATTCAAATCAATAATTTCTTGAAATTTATCATCATCATGTTCATAAACATTGTTATTGATGAAATAACAAGTCTTGGTGTGTGCATGTATCACTGGTTCGTATTATAATTATGTCGTAGGCCTACTGCAGACATGTTTACTTTTATGATTTAGGCGACCAAAAAGCAAAGGGCACTCAAGAGTCTAGCTTGCATGAATTTTGCCACCCCCTCCCCCTGGTCCCAATATTCTCTAACCATATATCTTTCAAATACATTTTTAAGAAATTTAAATTACTTTTTCATTAAAGTTTTCAAAGCCAAAGTATCCAATATTTTATTAATATTCACGATGATCTCATTTTTTTTTAAAAGAATATAAATATTGATACTTTAACCCATCATTTCTTATGTATGCAGAATGTATGCGTACATGAATCTACTAATATCTAAATCTTTCGGTTTGGCCCGAGTCTCGTTAAGCTTTCGGTTTCAGTCGAAAGTCATTTTTAACTTTCGGTCTGGTTTCGGTTTCGGCCGAAATCAGAAAATTACTTTCGGTCGGTCTCTGGTCTGGACTTACCAACGATGTGTCTGTCCACTCACTTATCTCTGTACAATCCCCTATTTCTGTGCTATCCCGTATCTCTGTGCCATCACTTATCTCTGTGCAATCCCCTATGTATGTGCCATCACTTATCTCTGTCCCATCACTTATCTCTGTACAATCCCCTATTGCTGTGCCATCACTTATCTCTGTCCCATCACTTATCTCTGTACAATCCCCTATTGCTGTGCCATCACGTATCTTTGTGCCATCACTTATCTCTGTACAATCCCCTATTTCTGTGCCATCACGTATCTCTGTGCCATCACGTATCTCTGTGCCATCACTTAATCTCTGTACAATCCCCTATTTCGGTGCCATCACGTATCTCTGTGCCATCACGTATCTCTGTGCCATCACTTATCTCTGTACAATCCCCTATTTATGTGCCATCACGTATCTCTGTGCCATCACGTATCTCTGTGCCATCACTTATCTCTGTGCAATCCCCTATTTCTGTGCAATCACCTATCTCTGTCCCATTACTTATCTCTGTATAATCCCATATCTCTGTCCCATCACTTATCTCTGTGTCATCACCTTTCTCTGTACCATCACCTTTGTCTTTGACATCACCTATCTAACTTTTGGAAGCCACTTGAATTTGTCGCCATCTTTATTTTAACCATCATGTGCCCAGTAACGTATCAGCTGACCATTCCAAATTGACACCTGTTTTGACCATGTTGACATCAGCTTTGACCGTGATAACACCTGTTTTGACCATATTTACAT